CTCCAAAGAACCATGGTGAGGGAGAACTGGCACTACGCTCCAAAGAACCATGGTGAGGGAGAACTGGCACTACGCTCCACAGAACCATGGTGAGGGAGAACTGGCACTACGCTCCAAAGAACCATGGTGAGGGAGAACTGGCACTACGCTCCACAGAACCATGGTGAGGGAGCCGCCATGGTAAATCTCAGATTTATTAAGGCAACTGGAAGACCCCTTTGGCCTAAGCAATGAACAAGCAAAGCAGATAATACATAATATGAACATATTATTATAATAACATATTATTAACAATTTAACATTGTTTGCACCTATTCGTTCGAAAACAACGCAGCTGTTTAACTGAACTACCCATGACATGATGTTCAGACCAGAGCATGTGAGCGGAGCGGAGCGTGAGCGAGGAGCGGAAATTCTCACCGCTCCACTGCGCTCACATGCTCTGGTTCAGACTGATGCCTGGAGTAAACAGACGGGACCGGGTCACTCCGGGATCCGGTTCTGAAAGAGACTGGGCCTCACCTGCTGCATCAGCTGCTCCACCTTGACAGGGAGCTCCCGGAAGGTGCTCAGCCCCTTCACCTCCTCCTGGGCCAGCTCCAGCTCCTTCTTCAACCTGGACACCTGACGTTCCAACTCGATGTTATCGGTCAGACCTGGCAGTGTGGACACAGTGTCACGTCGTCACGGAGACCATAGCATCACATTAACACATCAGGTTACATTTCTGAGCGCTGCTTTCAAGACAGAATCATAAGATCCTGAGTCTAACGTGGATCTAATACACACAGCCAGACCACATCACCCTCCTAAGGGAGTATAAGCATTGCAGTTTCAAAGATCAGTTCCTTGTCAAATAGCTCATACTCATACTTCTGGGAACCTTCCCGTCCAGCAGGACCGTCAGCTTAGCGGTTTCCTCAAAGGCTCCCTGCAGCTCTCTCTGGAGGTCTGTCTCCATCTTCTTAAAGCGGGCCTTGTCTGCCCCCTGTTGGTCACGTAGAGTCTGCACCTCCACTTTCAGCTTTTCAGAGCTCTCTGTTAGTGCTGACTGAGAAGGGGAAGCATTTATCGCTTTATCACTCGTGTGTGAAGATGCCCAGGGCTGTTTCAGGCATTACAATACACACCCAAAAAAAAAAAAAATCGAAACCTCAAGCAAATCTGCCACCAATCAGCAGGTCATACTTGATAATAATAATAATAATAATAATAATAATAATAGTTTTAATTTATAACGCACTTTACATTTAAAATAAATCTCAAAGTGTCAACTAACTACTTGTAAGAAAATGGGTGATTTCCGATAGAAAAGTATCAAACACTGGACACCAGCATTACGACACCATACACCACGACTCACTGACTATACTCTCCCCCAAGCGCACCCAGACTGCAGACACTCCAGGACTCACTGACGATGCTCTCCCCCAAGCGCACCAAGACCGCAGACACTCCACGACTCACTGACTATTCTCTCCCCCA